GTTCTTCCAGTTAAGCCTTAATCCTCTCCCTCTCCCCCCACGGGGGAATTTCGAAAAATCCCTTCTTAGTGCGCATTTTCATGATGTACCCTAACTGTGTACCAAATTTCACCTATTTAGGTTAAGCAGTTTGCTCTGGGCGATGATGAATCAGTGAGTGAGTCAGTCAGTCAGGACAAGCAATTTTATATATTTAGATAATTTTAAAGGTAAAGATAAAATTTGAATATTAAATTATAGTTTGCTGGTGTCATTTGATATAAACTTGCTTAAGTAGCAAGATATAGTAGAATAAATTTAATTTTCCTATAAGTTAAATTATGATATATTAAATATTTTTATATATCTGATGTCAAAGCAGTGTGTGAAATTCAATTAAACAAAATTTTTGTCTAAGGAAATATGTTTTTTTTTATAAACAAATAATTTATATTACTTAACCTATAATAGATAGACCAAATAAAAATTATATAATAAGAATAAACCATAAAATAAATTCCATCAACACTTCAATATGATATATAAATGTTTGTGGTCTTAATACTGTACATCTACTTTGGGTCTTATACATTTCCTCCTTATAAAACTGATGTTAAANTATATATTATACAAATTTAAAATTTAAAAATCATTTTTAAATTTACATCATGAGATGTTAAAGATGCAAAAATTAATAAAATTTTACAAATACAGTGGTGCCTCGTATAACGGACGTTGCAAACAACGGACTTTCTGTTTGGCCATTATGTGATTCGAGCAACGGACTGGCTGCAAACAACGGACTTTTCGTTCGGCAGTTACGTGAGGCGAACAACGGTTTTTCTGCGAATAAGTGTGAATGATGTTTCCACTCTTTTGCCGTTGCCAATGACAATCTGCTATTTTTATAATATATTAGTATTATTAGAATTTATTATTAGTATAGCTGAAGTACAGAGCTCCTGTGGGATTCGGCTTGCTCCCTTGTTTATTATGTACATCACCTCAGTGCAGGGTATTTACATTTATTCAAGTGTTGTGCAAATCATGGCTTCTAAAAAAACAGAAAAGTGATTTCAATTGAAACAAAGAAGAAATCATCAGAATGAGTGAAAGTTGACAAAAACTTCCTTGTCAAATGGGGAGAGGTTTGGGAGTTTATCAACACTCACTATCCAAACATAGCTGAGGCCAACAGGATCAATGATCTCTACAATGACACCCTTGCCCGTCATTTTTGACAGGTGCTGGAGAGAGAAACAGACCACTTTGGACATGTTTTTCAAGAAGCAAGCTGCCAAAAAACAAAGAATGGAACAAGAGAAGTTGACCCTGCATGCTCTGTTAGCCTCTCCTGAATGTGACTCCGATTAAAAAATAATAAAAAGAGACCCACTGCAATGTGTAAAAAGTCTGTATCTGTATGAATGTTTGAAGAAAGTGTTCCTCCACCATCTCATCATAACATCTGACTACCCGTCATAATTGGTGACTGCTCCATTTTAATTTTTTTATGGTACGGTACGGTTATTTTATGCTGCGGAACGAATTATATGTTTTAACATGTATTTCTATGGGAAAATGCGTTTCGTATAACAGACTTTTCACTTAACGGACGTGCACCGGGAACGGATTAAGTATGTTATACGAGGCACCACTGTATTTTAATAGTTATGAATATTAATAATGTAGGCTACAATAAAGTAACTAAGTTGCACTAATTTGTAATTAAATTTGTATACCATATGCTTTAAAACACTTATACATTCTATAAAATCAATTATCAGTGTTCGTTCTTAAAATCTGCTTGATCAATTTTGAAAATGAACACAATTCTGTAAGCCACATAGAAGAGGTTTCATTAATGCTATGCCTCAATAATAAAAATAAATTCATATTTATTTTATATATATAATTTAATTTTTAACAAGAATGAAAAATATTTGTAAAAATGCTACAAATCCATTTTATCCAAAAAGTTATTTCTGCTTTTTTCAATAACTATATAATTTTCATAATGACAAGATATCACTATATACAAATGAATATTTCAGTAATATAGTAAATGTAATGTTCTCTGTATTTTGCTCTTAACTTGTTATTAGTTATAGTAATGACAAAGTCAATAATTAATAATTAAATTAAATAATAATAAAGTCAACACTGCCATTTTCCATTAATTGCAACAAGAAATCCAAAAATGTAAAAAAGGTTCATTTAAATATAAAAAACAGGAGCCCATGACTACATTTTTGATATACAAATGCATTATGTAACAATACACGTATTGTTACATAATATCTGTGTCTAATGATGTGAATGAGCACGCCTAACAGAAATTATGCCTAGGGATAAAAAATAAAAACAGCATTGTGTTTGCCTAACAGAAAATAGACACAAAAAACAAACTAAACACAAGAACAAAGCAATTGATGGTGATTCTCTCTCTCTCGTCTCTCCCATGGCCAGCAGGTACAAGGATAGCCTCTTTTGTGGTGTCAAGTGCAAAGTTCATCTGTCTGCATCTGTCAGGTATTCTATCGTGATATGGCAAAGTCACACAATGTTCTAGTAAAGTTTTATTAATAAATTTGGTAAACACTGTCTCTAAAGTAAACTTCAAAATAAAAAAAATTATCAAAATCTAACAGATGAATAATATGAATACAATTTCACTGCATTTATATGATTCAATCTCATTAGCAGTTCTCAATCTCAGAAATTATCAGTAACATTCATAATTAAAATTATATAGTTGTAGTAATCTATTTTAAAAAAGATAATTTGAGATACAACTGTTTACTACAAAAAATTGCCATAATCCTTTGATTTTTTCTTGAAGAGCAGTGTAAATATAATATTCAAATTCTACAAATATGTATTAATAAATAGTGCATATCCAACAGAACAATCATATCACTGTTCTGCTAGACATGCAAAAAATTAGTCATATCTGTAATATTTTCTTACCACCATTCAATTCATACATTTTATTCTCTTTTTCTCAACATGGCAGAAAACATTTTTTCACTATTCAGATGTTATTTTTGCTATTGATTCACAAAACAGTTGCTATACTTCCATAAGTATGAACCTCCAGTTTTTGCAACCATGTATCCTTTGATCTTACTTCACTTCACACTTCCATATAAAATTGAATTTATATGAAGAATGATCTAATAAAGTATAACTTTCATTAATTAATTAACTATTAAAAATAAACTTTAAACAATTCATATTTTTCTTTTAAGAAATTTGACAATCTGCAAAAAAAATACATCTTTTATACAAACAACATACTATACTACTCTTTTCTATTTAATCATATTCACATATTACTTTTTTTATGATTCTTGAAAGGATAAATTAGAACTAAATCTTTTGAATTTAATAAATAAATATAAAAATAGTGTTTTTCAAACTACAGTGTGAAATGCAAAGTTTGCTTAGAATATAATTTCACAATCAGATCTGGAAAAAAAATTTAATTACAATGTTCAAAAGGTGTTCAAATGAGAGAATTTTTCAATACAATCAAATTTTAAAATCTTTTTAGATTATGTGTAGAATGTCAAAACTGATGAAATAATTGGTAAAATTTCTGACAATGTAAAGTGTGATAGTCTGAGTATACATTTAGAACTGTATAATGTTATGAACTGTTGTATTATGTTTCTACAATTAATTGCTACAAATAAAAATCCTGTTGATGTTCTTTGAAATCAGAAAATGAAAATAACTCAAAAAAAAACTGAACTTTAATGATAATGTATCAAATACTTTTCAACTTTTACCAAATTATATAGTATAAACAAAACAAACAACATTCTGAGATATGTTTTATAAAGCTTAGTTTTCAATCAATTTTTAAAATGACTCCATCCATCTCCTTAGAAAATTAATCTTATTGCTTAAGAAGTTTCAAATAAATTTCTATTATCTAAATTATAATAAATTCTTTCATTTTCAGAAGTATCCTTAATATAATACTGTGATTAGATAAAAACATTTGATGACTATTATGAATTGTAAAGTTACATTTTATTTTGCTTTTCTTTTCATGTGCTCAGCATTTATTCAAGATTCATATGAATAACAAATAATTTATAAAATAAATCATTATCAAGTAGTTATGGGAAGTCCTCATTAATCCAAACTTGGATAGTTCAAAATCCCATTAGTATTTAACTGTACTGTTTGTCCTGGCTGGGGATATAGAGATTTACATGTTAAGAAACTTGATTAGTTCGAACTATGGCTACTTCAAAATTATAAGTGAAAATTCTGTCCAAACTGTGATATGTGTACATTAACTTGTTTGTTTACATCGAAGTGCCTCCATACTGTGAAAATCTGGAGTTGGGAGATCATATTATTGACAAATTTATTTAAAATAGTTGTTATTACTTTTCAATAGAAATTTACCTATCAGAATTTTTATTAAAGTTGAAAAAGGATCTTCCTTTTTCTCTAGAAAAAAGCCATTTAATTCCTCCGAAACTTTCTGATTTATCATCAAATTACAATATTATATTATTGTACACAGAAAAAATGTTTTTTTTAACAAGTAGTTTTGTTAGATCTGATTAATTTTATATTTTAGTCACAGTTTAACTGGCATGCCGGTAACTCTGGGGTTTCCAGTATGCTGGTCTTCCCTGTTTATATGCAGCATGCCAGTCATTCCAGAAAATACAGTATATGCATTTTTCCTGATTAACAAAGCTCAGGCCTCTTCAGTGAGAACAGTATTAACATTATTACACTCATCACAATTTTGATAACATGCCTAGTCACATGAAAATAGTATATCTTATAGTAAGATGTGTCATTCTTATAGTAAGATATGCAATTATTTATTGTGACATTGTCACAATGCCGGGACTGTAATTTTTAATCATATTTTTAATTTATTTAATTTAAAATGTATGCTCTCCACCTCAAATTAGTAATCTCTTGCCCGTGTACATCATACATTTCCTCAAAACAACAGAATCATGCTGGTCATCTATGTAATTCCATTCTGAAGAAAATTTTTAAATTAAAATCATGTGACTTCTAGTCTAGAAACAGTCGGAATTTATAGGTCTAATGTTTTTTCAAATTGCAGCCCAATGATTCTATCTCAGTACATATGCTTGAACAGCTAGATTGTGATAAATTTGTATATTAACAAAGTTTAAAATTAATAGTTTAATACAATTTATTTGTTTGCCGATTCAAAATTTTTCTACTTCAGAAACAAGAATAGAGTTTCACTGGAAGTAAAAAAATAATACCTTATTCAAATAAAACAGTGCACTGCATTTAATTTCCAGACATTTACTTGTAATAGACTATTTTATAAAATTTAAAAATTCATTTCATAGTAAGTTAAATTAGTAACATAAGAATTTAAAACTTTCATAAACTATTAATTTTATTTGTTTTCCATAGCATGTAATGATTCTCTCTTACTTTCATCTGACCAAGAAAATATTACTAAATTCAATAATCTTTCTAATAAGGTTTCATTTTTAACATATCAACAATAGATGCTATGTTTTATTTTTCATTGTATATTATCAATTTCTCTTTGTGTAAAAAAAAATAATAAAGTAGAAGCACATGAATATATATTAATTAACAAAATTCAAGTCAAATATTTTTACTTGAATTTTCATATCAAATATGATAATTTGATGCCAATTTCCCTGTAATAACAATCATCATCTCAATATTAAAAACTAATTGTTCAATAACTGTACTAAATGTTTTCTTACTCATTCCAAAAACCATTCTCAGGTACTATTACGTAAGATGACATCAAGTTGATTTTCAAATCAAGTGTTTTATGTTGCTCAATTGCATGTTGTAATCCAAGAGCAGATGTTTCTTTTATGTCTTCTAATTTTGTAACTGCAGCAGCTTGCAATCTGTTAATAAAAAATAAAAATAAATAAAATTCAATTTTTACTCAGAAAACTATAATATCAAAATAATTCTCGAACAAACATATTTTATCTATAATAATGAAAAGATTATTGTTAAATCTAAATATCAGAAACTGCCTTTTTTATGTTTGCTGAGATATCTGTAAAATTTCCATAAGTACACGTATTTGTAATGAAGTTTTCAAATTTCCACTGCAAAAGGGTGCTTTACTGTAGTACCATATGATTTAGGAAAAAAGCATATGGAGTGAATAATCCTAAATCAATAACTGATTGATTAATGTTGGTTTGAAAGTTCATGCTCATTTATTTTCAGAGATTTTACTTGTAAATTACTGAAAACTAATATCAAAAGCTAACAATAAAAAAACAATAATAGAAGAATACACTAATACAGATAATTAATCTTACTGTTCCAAAATATTATAGATAATTAATCTTACTGTTCCAATTTAACATCAGATGGTGGTTTAAAAACATCTGCCAGAAGATTTACAGTTGCCTGGAAAAAAAAAAGTTATATAGATATACAATTTATAATAGACAAAAATAAAGAAATAACGAATTTAATACCTTATTTTAATTTGACTGTAAACATTGCTTTCATTTCAAAATTTTAACATTGAAAATCATTAACATAATTAATGTTTAAATGAATTTTGATTAATGTGAATAAGAAATAAGCTAGAAATTATGTATCTATGAAAACTGATGTTCTAATTTTTAACTAATAACATTACAAAATAACTCGATAAACCAGTAATTCTATATTATATATTCAAACTCCAGCATACAACATATAGTTTATAACAAAAAAAAATGTTTTCAATGGGCCTAAGCCTAAATCAAGAGGCGGCCATATACGACCTGACAATAATGGCTTAAGCTCACTGAAAATATTTTTTTGTTACAAACTATATGTTGTATGCTGGAGTTTGAATATATAATATAATTTTAAGTAACATATAATACATTAACATACATATATATACTGTACACAGAGAAGAAATATTACCATCATAATATTTTACCATCACATCACACTTTACACACAGCTTCTCAATTATTTGAATGGATATAGTTTATATTATAAAATGGTAATACAGTGCTACCTCGACTTACGCGAACTCGGAGTTACGTGATTTTCAAATCTCGTCGATTCGTCTTTTGTTTGAGCGCCACGCACTCTTGATTACTCACTCCCCCCACACTATTGTTCAGCTTTCATGTTCGGACGTTTCACGTAAAATCAAAACATAGCTACAATTTATTTTGTGTTATTTATTTCTGTGTTTGTTATATCTACGGAGACTTGAGAGACTCTATATGGTGATTTCTTGTAACCATGAATGAATCAAATGACGAGATAAGATTAACGAGAACATTTATTAGCTTACATACATCCGACTTGGATTTTACACAAATTGCAAAATTATACCCCGACTTACACAAATTCGATTTACGTGGTTATCGCTCGGTCCCACCTATCGCATAAGTTCAGGGTATTACTGTATCAACAATTAGCAATAAAATTTGCTCTAATATCAGAACTAAATAATTTAATAACAATAATTTATGTTAATTAGTTCATTAATTTAACCAAAAATGCAAAATATCTTCATGTATATGATAAGTTATGCTTAAAACCAAATAAACAATTAAAATCTTTAAAGAATGGTGCAAAGGTAAATGGTTCAACTATAAAGATAAACAAAGCATTCCATAAGCCTGGCAGGCTTTGGTCTTTTTAAATGATCTGAAGGCATGTTAACACCTTTCAAATTTAACAGCTATGAACAAGCTTTTAAACTCAACTTCAAACATTACTTAAATGGTTTAATTTTTCATACCTTTTGTATGAAGTTGCTCTTTGAACAACCAGTTCTGTTTGGAACACCGTATGGCTTAATGCAAAGCTTTTTAAAAGCTTTGAATGTCTTGAATTGCAACAAATTCTTCTGAATACACTACAGGTAACCCCATATAACATGGTAGTTACGTTCCAAAAAATTGC